GATCACCACCTGCACTCATGTATATATCTTTCAACGTAGCACTCTTAATTCTTACTCTCATGTATATCTCATGCACATATCTTTCCACGTAGCACTTTTAATTCTTATCCCTACTTTTATTTTTTCCATGTCTATTTAAGTGTTATTTATGACACCATGTTTGCACTGAAGCACCGCAGCAATTTCCTAATGTTGTAAACCTGCTCAACATTTGGCAATAAACCCCATTCTGATTCTGATTCTGATTCTGATTCTGATTCTGAATGAAATGTTGTGGCCTGCAGCTGTAGGCTCACTCTAACAAGAATGTGCAGCAGGTAGAAAATAGTTCAGGTGTCGTTGCTCTGCAACATTGTAGAGCAGAACAAGGACGGCTGTTGTGTGAGTCACAGATAGTATCTATAGCGTTACTGATTAATTTATTTAGGGAAGTGTTTGTGTGCACATACACATGTATACATCAATCAAAAAACTAGTGCTTAACCCAGTAGCTTCAAAGCATAAGATTCCTTTGATTCTTCAACTTAGCATTTATTGTGGTAACTGATGAGAAAAAGTGAAAACCTGAGGTTGAATAATATATTTCAAAGGCCCATTTGAGCAACACCTGTTCTTCCCTTTTATCACAACAGCTTTGGTCATAACAGTAAAGGCACTGGTGAACAGGTCAGGCTATCTTAAAGGAACGGCGGGTAGCAAACTGAAACGTTTGTTTATGATATTTATTCATTTGTAGGTTTAAAACGAATTTAAACAATAAGCCAAAAAGCTTTAGGCCTCATTCATACAGGCCTAAAGACCTGATGGTCACCAACACCAAACACTAGTCACTAAGGAAAAATACTAGTACTCCCTGACTAATTGCTAGTGAGTCCTAGAAGTTGCAGGCAGCGACTGTGAAATTAACTGCTAAAGCCCTAGTACGTCTTTTATGTATGAGAATGTTTTAGTCAGACCCTAGGAAGAGTAGCTACTGCTATTGCAGGTGCTAATGGGGATCTTAATAAACTAAACTATCTAAACAGCCATTCAGAAAGGCTGGTGACTCTCTGGTAAACACCAGTTGCAAGGGAAAAATTTGTATATCCTACAGGTTGGCAAATGGTTGCTAGGTGGTGCACCAAAAACCTTTAGTCACCAGAAGATTGCCTGTAGGTTGCCCACTGAAGAAAGTCTCATTAGCCAGCAGCAAAAGAAAAGATTAAACTCAAGACAAACAAAAATGTGAGAAACACTATTCCTAACTACAGGAATAAGGAAGGAACAAAGCCCTTTCATACAAATATGATATCAAAGATAATGAGAACCACTTTAATTTTAAAATGCCATATACCATTTTTCAATACTGCCCAAGTAAAAGTGACTTTATCGGTGAGAAGTCCACAATGTTTTGGAGTTAATGATTTTTCTCTAGTTCTGGACACTGAATAAGGTTTGCTCATTGACAGAGATAACTCATGTCTCCTACATAAAGCGACATCCATAACACTGCAAAGTCCCAGTGAACGCAAGAATCAGTAAAGCAGCTGACAATATCCATTCCCTCAACATCTTCAAATTTTACATTAGATTTGGATAAGGATGGAAAGCATCTGGAGAAAAAGACAGTCTGCAGTCTGCCTTTTAAATTAGATTCAAACTCTGCCCAAGCATCCGCCTCCTCTTCCTTCATGGACAGAGTGCAAGTCTCTGTTCTGTTGTCAGCAAAACACAAGCCAAGAATCCATGCAACATGCATGCAACCTTTGTAACTTTACTTGAACTTCTAGCCAGTGGGATATTTTGACTTTAAAATGCCGTGCAGGCACACACTAACCATTTTGTTCTTCTTGGAGTAAGTCTTCTTCAGCAGCCTCTCATTCATCCTCTCCTGCTCCCGCTGGGCGTGATGAAGGAAGCCGTTCTCCAGGGGATCCACCACTGGCTGAACATTCTCCTCTTCCTCCTCCACCTCCTCGTCCTCCTTCTTCTGACGCTTTGCCACCTTTTTCTCCTTCCACCTCTCCTTCTTCTCTTGCGTCTTCACAACTCCACTCTTCTTCTGCAGAAAAAGATTTTGTTAGAACTTGGCAATTACGTAGTATTAATCAAAGAAACTAAACTAGATCAAGTCAGCAGTAGTGAATCTCAAATAATTCTGTGCTTGCACTGAATGACAGATACTGATCAGTGTCACACTGAGATTTACAGCCTTTGGTGTCTCAAGGATTTTCTTTGAATCCTTCAACGAGAACAAAGCAGACAGGTCTAGATGGATATACAAACTGGCAGGAGATAAATGTGCAAAAGAACAGAGGGAGGGTGTACCGCAGCTGGCAAATAGTCAAGTGTGCGGCCCCTTTCACTTCTGGCTTATACAAAGCAAGCAAACACTTGAGCAGAGAGCAGTGACGCTCCCTCTCTCTAAAGTCATATTTAATCCTGTCAGCAGCAGAACAATGCCTTACTGGAGCCTATAATCACTTTATGGCTCAGATATAATGAGCTTGTGATATGAAGTGCTGCTTTAACACACACTGGAGAAAATACAGCAGCTTTACATTTAGTCTATGACCACACAGTCTCCCCCTTTAACCTTGTTAGTTGTTGATTTCATGCTTCAGCAATGCCCTGTATGAAAGCAGTGTTTGTTTATTGGAATTTAAAGACAGTTTCTAAGTTGCTGGTATGTTATACAGCGGTAGCTCGTCCTCACCTCCCCAATTTTATGCCCAACACGTATAACAGAGCCACGTGGCTGCGGCTTTTGTTACTGAAGTCACTACACTGGTAAAACTGTACGAAACGTTAGATGAATAATATTCTATGTTAAAAGGTTTTGCTGAGGTAAAGTTTGATGGTTAGCCTTCACATATGCTCAGCCTCAGGATCTCTTCAAGCTGCCACGAACAACTGAGTTTCTAAGGAGAGATGGGTGAACAGCTCACATGAGTGGATTTTTTAGTTTGCAATTTAAATAAAAAGAATGAGCATCAATAATGAAATTACCCATGAACTGCAGCCCTAGTTTGATCCTCAACTGCTGGTGATGCCTCTATGAACAACCAAACCTCAGTAATTCCGGCGGGATAATCAATGGGAGCACAGACGAGACATATTCTACAACTCCTCCTTGCAAGGTACTGCACTTTGAGCTCAAGATGGCTATGAACCCATCTCATAGCACAGATCAGCTGTTCTAGACTCATACTTATAACACATAATAAGACACAAATGGTCAAAGGAAGGTCAAATAAAGCTGGCAAGTGAGTAAAGTCAAAGCCATTGCCAAGATGATAAAATAAAAAAGCGCACACGTGTTGGCATACATGTACAAGTCCTATTCCGTGACAACCCCTGATGTCTGCCTCACTTCTGTGTCAAGTGTCTGAATTGTTCCCTCCTCCTGGGCTTCAGCTGCTCCTTATTTCCATATCTGAAAATAAGACTGAGCTGGTGATGTCCTGCTGCCGGTGGTCATCACTGTGTGTTTGAATGGCACAGGACAACGCATCTCTGTTGGAAGCCGTATGGAGCTGAGGCCAGAGGGCTGCAAGTTCACATTTCAGCATCTGTTCACAGCCAGCAGCATTAAGCCTAACTGCAGATGAATCTGTGCTCCATATGAATAATCAAATTATCGACTCCAAAGGTGGGAGATTAGCAGATGGGTAGCACATTAGGCTCATAACTGCTAATGAATGACACCTTCCGTGACAAAAGGTGTTTATGTATCAGGTACTTAAAAAAAACAATACTCCCATAGAAAGGAGGACAAAAATCAATCTCCAAAAATGTAACTGCCAAGAGAAAGGAACCTAACTAAAACCCACCTTTATGTTGGAACCCAGGAGTCCTGCATAAATAGTGTTTTTCCTACACTGAAAATATTTCTAGCTGAACTGTTTCATAGCTTGCAGTTCCACGCCTCATGAAAGGAGCTGTTTAAAAACAGGGTTTTCTATGTATAAGAATTTCTTCTCTCACACCTTTTAAGAGTGGGTACAACACTTGCCGATCACAGGGAAATCACATTTTCATTGTGAAAGGAATCAGCTGTTTGTTGAGCCAAAGGTCACTTTACACAGTAAACCTCACTGGGATATAAACGTCCTTTATGAAATAAGACCAACAATGTTTTGTTGTGTTGTTAAGAAGAAAACAGTTAATGTACCAGTCTTATTGTATGGGGTAGAATCTTATTGGATTTATCATTTTTCATGCATAGTAAATAAAGCGAGTCAAGTATTTACACAGCACCTTTCAAGATAAATATCACAAAGTGCTTCACAACAGGAATGGTAAACAATAAGAACAAACACTTAAACAAAAACAAGTTTAAAAAGATGAGTGCTACGGTTGTTTCTAAAAGAAACCAGAGACCACAGATCTCAGGTTCAATCTGAGGCTATGCGTGGGCAAGCCAAGTCTGAAAGAATGATGCTATCACTCATCATTTTAGTAGTGGAAAATCCTTTCACTGTTATTTTTAAATTTTAATCCATGTTAAGCAGCTAGTCCCAGGCCATCCCACCGCATTTCCATATCCCCCAACTGCTTCTGCAAAAAGGATTACGCCTAATGGTTACACATAACCCAACTCCAGCACCTTCCCCTGTAGCTGGCAGTCATTATTATTTCGCTGCTTTAGAGATCTTCTGTGAGGTTTGGGCCACTCTAACCAGAACTTGCAGAAAGTGGAGCAGAGTGTGGAATACCAAACAGCAGTTCCTCAAGATGAAAGACTCACTTTTAAGGAGCTGCTTATGTTATTTGTATTTGTCTGCAGGAGAAACTAATAGAAACCTAAATTTGTAGGAAACATAAAAAAAAATAAAAATTTGTTGAAAATTAAATTTTAAGTTAAAACTGAAAGAACACCCCAGCTCTGCATGTGTGATGTTTCTGCTTCAACTTGTAAGAATGTTTCATATGGTACGTTGTTAAGAGCTCAAGAAATAGTTGCAGTTAAAATGCACATTATATGCCTGGACTAAAATCATTGTGCTGGTATTTATATTTTGTATTATTCCACTGGGTTACATATTTATCCCATCACAAACGGCCCACACGTTCACACTGTGGTGTGATATCACACGGCGACTCAAAGTAACTCTTTTCTCCTCACGAGTAGACACATTTATTTCTCAAGATGCAACATCCAGGTGGTACTAACAGACGACCTCGCATGGCAATCATTGATTTTAAATCTGTCTTTAAAGAGCTTTCATTTTTTGACTGTACTGGTATCATCTTTGTGGGCTTAGAAAATCAGCATTATCTTCAGGAAAATCCTCCCCTGTAGTGATAAAAAGCCATAATTAAGTTTGTTTCTACATTTTAAACCCTCACAAAATCGAACCATTCCCCTGCCACTTTCATCTATTATTGTCTATCATAATAAACTCAGCTACCTATAAACCAAATCTAGCAATATTACTGAGGTTTTCTTTTGATATTTTCTAATCCACATAATAGAAAACAGAGAATCATTAAAAATGAAAGGACTACCGAATATAACATTGCTGCACATTCTTTTTAGTTTGACTGCAGTAAACCATTAACATGTGATCAAATACACATCTTATTTAAAGCCAGAAAACCAAACACTAGGTGCAACACCAATTTACGCACATAGTGCATATCCAACTTGAATCTGGTGAAGCTTCAAACATCTCACCACTATCTCTTTGACCTTCATGCTACATGTCTGTTTCAAGTGAAATGCAAACTAATAAAACACAAATATGCCTCAGGAGTAAATAAATATCAGCTGCTCAAAACTCAAACTTTCTTGCTAATATAGTGTGGCAGGTTGTGGCAGTGCCTCAAGGGCAGTATGCTGAGCAGCTGCCACTCCAAAGAAAACACAGATCATCGCCAGAGGCATGCAAACAATATATCGCAGTGTTAAGTCATATCAACATGTATTAATTTCTGCAGCCTCTTGCATAGATCTCACAACATACCACTGAGGAATTATAGATGCCATTTCAATGGAGGCAAAATGTACTACACAGCGCTACAGTGAGAGTAAAGGATGTAGATCTACACATAAAAATGTGTCATGCTTCTCAGTCTAGTTTTGTGTTTGCCAGCATTACAGCTTCTGTTAATCGCATTATCAGAAGCTCAAGCTCAAGCACACAGCAATTAGATTTTGTTTAGAGCATTTGCACCTGCTCTCATTGCTGTCTCATGTCTGCTGCATTCTAAATAAACAGATTTTAATTGTTTGTGTGTGTTATTTCCGTTTATTCAGTCCATGCCTCAGACAACAGATCTATAATAGCTCCAGGAGTAGAAGGGTAATTCATCACCGTGTCTGCCAGCAACAGCTTAGTTGTGATATCATTTCCATATTTCAAAGGCCTGAAGTAGGGTTTTTCTTTTATGAAATGGTTATGAAATTATTTCTGCACACAATGGAGCAGTGTATCACACTGTGTACTGTTAAAAACATTTACAAATCAAAAGAATAAAATACTGATGCAGATAATTGTGACGGAGCTTACTAGCTGGTGAAAGTGCACTTCAGTGTACACCAGGTGAAGGTCTAACATTCATCATAGCATTTCTTTACCTTTAAGGCCTATGCAAGCCTAATATGAAAACATAACTTGCAGCCTTCTTTTATTCCCCTGATGTCGTGTCTACTTTTTTATACAATGTTAAAAGCCTTGCTATTCATCTGTGAAGCTTTTAACTAGTGGTCAAAGTAGTGAATCTCTCTCGTTTTACCTTGTTCTGCCTAGGATAGAAAAGTGACAGTGACCTCAGTGGTAGAGAAGAAGTGGTTTAAGATATGATGAGGCAGTGGGGCTGACAAAAGAGCGGGAGAGAGGAGAGGATAAAAAGGACGAACACAGAGAGAGAGGGAGAGATACGGTGATGGTGGGGGGGTCTCAGCCTGGAACAGGAGAGACCGCTCGACTGGTTTGACCCGGCCACGTTACCCTGGCAACAGAATGGGAGAGCTTTGTTGCTGTTCCAGGCTGCATGGGGAGTGGAGTGTGTTTATGTGTGTGTATCTGTGTGGGTACAAGTGCATAAAATCCAACA